CTTCCACTGAACAGACCCCATTTACCTTAGTTAGAAAAACAAAAGGGCCGCTGGTGCTGGTCTGCTCCTGAGAGCTGATCACAGCTGGAATGTTCTAAGAGAGCCCGGACCTTCTCTGGAACACACACCAGGCAGGCTTTGCACAACTGACCATACAGCTCAGGACAGTTCATCGAGGAAAACCAGCTATCCTGGAAAACCAGTCATCATTTCCAGGAACAAAATTACCTTCTTCCTGACAGCTCAATCAGAATGCCTTGGAGCAGAGAGGACCCCGCCCGTCTCGAGCCTCCCTGGGGCGAGGAAGGGGGTCCTGGAATGGCATGTGGGAGGTTCAAGGGGACACGGAGGTGAGCCACTTCCCACAGGCCTGGGGAATAGGGTTGGCCAGGACCCCCAAACACCCTGAACGTCGTGTTCAGAAGGGTCGGCACAAAAAAAATTTCATCCTGTTTATATTTCAGTAACCACTGAGCTCAAATCCAACCGACCACACCCTCCGGCCCTTCTTCAATTGCTCCTGGGGTACCCTGCTGGAAGGTGCCCCCCTCCCACCCCAGGATGCCCCAGTGGCCACCACTGGCTTTGGGCAGCTCCAGCCCTTCCCCTATCGGATATCCTTGGTGGCATCTGCAATTCAATCAGCCTGAACCGGGCCCTCTTCCGGAGCCGCTGGAAAAAACTGAAAAGTGCTCCTCACACAGAAAGAAACCACCAACTGTTTCTTTGTCAATGGCAATTATTCTTAAAAATACACTTTTCCTCGAAGCAGTGTTTCTGGTTTATGTTGATGACAACACAAAAGGAACTGTAGATCTATTACTATGATTACTATTATTATTTTAGGACCTGGAGAGATTTCCAACTAGTCCCAGGGCCCAGGGGCCGGGTGGGGGCCGGAGAGCGCACGCACTTCACGGGTGCCGAGTCCTGGTCCCGGTGGCACCATCATCAAATTCCATCCTTTACTGTTAGGAGGGAAGTTCAGGGCCACCCGAATCCACTGACATCAGTCTCAATTAAAACAACCCAAAAATGGTGACGTGATAAAAGCATCTCTACAATTAGGCAGAATTCAGTAGGACCGGCGTCATATTTCTCTTCGTTAATCATTTCAGGAACGTCTCCTCCTTTGCGGTCTGGGGAAAAGTTGCTAATTCTGTTTCCCAGCAGGAAAGGAGAAGGTGCCCCACCCCCAGGAGTCCCTCTTCCTAGATGGAAAATATCTGGGCATTAACAGGACCAAGATGGAGTTCCATTTGTTAAAGACACTATCTCAATAGCACTTACATTATTCAATTTTTTTTCTCATTTAGGGCTGGCCATAGCATATTTCTCCATCCCAGGGAGGGCATTGGGGTAGGGAGAAATGCCAGAAATACCATCAGATTGATCCTTTCTAAGGGGCACTTTCTGGAGAAGCTACGGGGTTTTCCTCCCAACTCAGTCAGAAATTCCAAAGACCATACGAGGGCGAGCAAAGCTGAGGTTTCCCTTTCTGGAAGCATTTACCTCCGAAAAGGGGCAAGAACGGGCCCTGGGATGTGGTCTAGGAAGGTGGAGAAGCAGCCAACTGTGGGGAGGGGAAAAGACAGGCGCAGTGAAAGCTCATAAGGAAGGGCCCCCAGAGGGAGAGAGCGGGGCCACCTCTGGGAGAGGCGGCAGGGACACAGCTTAGCCCTCTGTGAGCTGAGCCTTCAGCACGGCCTGCCTGCCGCGCACCAATCCAATTACGTTCCCAGGGAGCCTCCGAGGGGTTCCCACACTGCTATTTTTAAAACTAACAAGAAACGGGCTTGTCTAATCGTCAGCTTGTACTTACAAACCCGGGGTTTGCTCAGGCTCGTCCCGACCAGCCGGTGCCCATCTCTCTTGAGCTGCTGGGGCCGGCACCCAGGCCAGGCGCTCAGTTATCCAGCCTTCCACTGAGCCCGAGGGAACGGAGGGATGGAGCTCTGGGGTCACTTGTTCTCACCTAAATGGTAACGCCCTATTCCCAAACTCTACCCTAGCACCATGACCCCCTAATGAGGGCTGCCCAGGGAGGCCACAAGTCTCCTCCAAGCCACCAGACATGCCCCTAAGGAGGGAGAAATGCAGATCAATGGGGCATCACTTGTGCACTTCCCGAAGGTCCCCTTGGAAGCCCCCTTGGCAGGTGTTTCTCTGCCCCCAGGGACCTCGAGGGGTGTCTGGGGCTGAGCAGTCCCTGACCTTTCCACACTTAAGTACACGCTCACATGGTCTGGGGCAGCCTGCTGCTCCGCGGAGCCCAGGGCGGGTGCTGGGGATCAGGCCCTGCTGGGGCCAGGGCGGGGCATAAAAGCTGGGGGAAGGGCAGCAGGAGGGGGCCCAGAGACCCCAGCCTGCCTGGAGAGACAAGCAGCCAATGAAAATCAGCCTGGCCCAAACCTGTACCTGCAGTGGGTCCCTAAGTAACAAGTGGAGGGGCCCACAAACGACTCCAAGTGCCCTGGAAAGAAAAAGCCCAGGCCCTCGTGGCACAGGTGAGAGGTACCGTCCTTCAAGGCTTAGCAGGGAGGGGTACAGAGCTGGGGGCTGCACCCAGAAGCCCCACGAAATCCTAGTCCCCACTCCAGGGAACATCTTGCAAATAGCGGGGTAGGGATGGTAGGCAGCTCATTGAAAGCACACTGAAGCCAAACTGCCAGAATTTGGCAGGACTGGCAGCACAACAACTATTTCACAGTCTGGATGCAACCCTGCAATGCAAGCAGCTCCTCCTGCACTGCAACAGGAGTGACACAAATTCCTGCTGAGAACCTCACGTTGAATACAGTCAATAATTAACCTGGAGGAGTTTTCTTTACAAAGAGCCGGGGTTTGACCATCTTCTCCAAGAAATCACCCACTGCTGCCAATGCAGAACTCCAGCCCGCCCTACCCAGCCCGACAAAGTGCAGGAGGTGGATGGCTTCCTGTTGGGCGATGGTGACCAGGACCTAGCCACCCAGTACATGCCACCACCTGCCTAGTTCGGGCAGGGCAGGAAAGGCTTCCAGCTAAAGGACAAAACACTTTTCAACCAGGCTATGCAATATCCGAAGTGAACCACCTCAAGTGGAGAAACCCTGCCTTCAACTGGGCCACCCAGGAAACAAGGGCCTGTGCGCTGGAAATAACAGATTCTAAGGATGCAGGCTGATGATGAGTCAGCCTGGGGCCGGGCTTGTTTACTTTGCTCTTCCCAATACAAGAAATTGGTGTTAAAAACTTCCCCTGATGAATAAAACTCACTTGGACCAGAAGATTCCAGCAGACAAATGTCCCCAGAGTATAAAGATACCCCTAGGGCAAGGGTCTTGCCTTGCAAGATCTAACCACTGGCTGGTATTCCAAGTGGGTTGGATTCCATCAAAATAACCACAGCGCCCCTCCCGGCCTGAGACGTTCCCAGGATCCAAGGCACAGCGAGGCTAGGAAGGGTTTGCACAGCTTCACAAGCAGCTCACCTTTGAGTTAGTGATATTTTTAAGACACTTGTCACCACTCCACTGAAGTTTCCAAGAAACACCGGTTTGAAGCTTACAGCAAAAAGCCACCAATAGCTCTACTATATAATCTCCTAGGCCAGGACACAAAAACACAAAGGCAGCCAGTGTGCTTGGGTTTCTTCTCCCCAGGGGCCTATTCGTGTGGCTTGCTGTGGCAGCACACTCTGCAATCCTTCTGTATACCTTACTCCCCGGGATGCACACAGCCACCCGGGAGACGAGCATCCCCACCATCCTCCGGGTGAAAAGCTGGGGTCTGGAGGCCCCATCACTTAAGATGCTGAGGATTAGAAATCAGGTCTCTGAGAGAGCAAAGGCCCTGCAGGGTTTAAAAGGAGCTGCTGTTCTGAGTCTGTGTGTCTGCAGCTGACTGTATAAGAGGGATTTCTTTACAGAATACAAACACAACATAACTTCTATGCAGAATGCAAATTCACCACACGATAAGTAATTTCAATGTGCTCCATTGAAGCTCACATATAAATTAAAAAGCAACTGCATATGGTGAATTCCAAAAAAAAAAAAAAAAAAGAGCTGCTTCTCGAGACCCTCGTCTCCCCTCTACTCCTCAAATTATGCACAGACCACAATCGAGCCACCGAATTTAACTGGGGCGGCTCTGCGTCCTTTCCAATCATCTTCATTAACTTGAGCCCCCCCCCCCCGTGACGGGGGGACAGGCGGGATCTGTCCAGCCTTTTGGACGGGGAAACCGGGGTGCAGGAGGGCGCTATGGCACGGCCACAAATCAGGTTAATGCAAGGTCCCTCCCCAGAGGCTCGGCCCCTAAATTAAGTCAGCTAAAACGGGAGCGTGTGGCGAGGAAGTGCTGGGCCGACAAGACCCCCGGGCCGCCTGCCCGATCCCACGGCCAGGCCCGAATCCCGCAGAGCCGACGCGCAAGTGCCCGGGCGCCGAGGAAGCCCGGCCAAACCAAGCCAGCGCTTCCGACCGAAATAATTAGCGTCTTACACCAATTTGTGTTCCAACGTAAATTACAAAGTAAGCTGAAAGGAGTCTAACTCACTCACAAAGCCCAGATCCCCACACGGCAATTTCTCTAAGCCGAGCGCAGACCGCAGCGCCCAGGCAGGTCCCGGACGGGCCGGACGCGCCTCCGGGAGCCGGGGGTCCAAGGCGCAAGGCGAGCTCGCGACCCTGAAAATCCGGGGCCTCATGGGAAGCCAGGCGGCACCCCCGGGCACTCTACAGCGTCTTGGGCAAACGCGGGCCCCCCGAGGTGCCCCCCAGAAGCCGCACCCCGGGGACCGCAGCTCGCCAACCCGCCCCCCGCGTCCCTGCGGCCGGGCAAGCCGCGCTCACTCCGCCGGGGGCTCACGGCCCCGCCCGCCCGGAGGCTGCTCCGGAGACGACTCAGGTGGAGAGGAGAGCCCGGGAATCCAAGCACCCCGACCCCGGCCCGCCGCCGCGAGGCCCTCCCGGCCGCCCGCCCAGCGCCGCGGCGCCCCCGCCCGGACCGCTGACCTGTCGTCGACGTGCAGGCTGGGCGAGCACTTGATGGCGAGCCACGTCTTCCAGTGGACGTGGCGCACCTTGTACACCTGCCCGAAGCCGCCCGAGCCGACTTTCTCCCAGCCCGCGAACTCGCCGGCGTCGAAGGTGCGCAGCAGCCCGAGAGCCCACGGGCTCCCGCTCTCGCCCTCCATCGCGCGCGTCTGGTCGCCGCTCCGCGCCGCCGCGGCCGCCCAGGTGCCCAGGTGC